CCTTCTCCTTCCTTTCCTTCCCATCTCTTCCCTTCCTCCCTTCTTTCCTTCCTTTCCTTCTCTTTCCTTCCCTTCTCCTTCCTCCCTTTCCTTCTCCTCCCTTCCTTTCCCTCCCTTCCTTTCCTTCCCCTCCCTTCTTTTCTTCCCTCCCCTTTTGGGCTCAATTGTGGCCATAAGTCAAGACCTCGCTATAACTTTCTAAAACGTCCCCCGCGGGCCTCCCTTCTCCTCGCTCCCTGCCTTCTGGGCTCCCCTTCTCAACCACTGACCTCTTGGTGATTTGCAGAGGGTTGCAGAGGAGGGGGTCACCCTCGAAGGCCTCCTTGTCGAAGAGCCTGCGGACGGCGTAGAGAGCCAGCTGTTCCATGAGGAGGAAAGTCTCGCCCAGGTGCAGAAACATGGAGAAGTAATGGTCCTCCCCGTGGGCACAAACGTGGATGCTTTCTGTCAGGATCACCGTGGAAGTTTTTTCAAGTTTGGAGATCTCATCCCAGGCTATTATGAGTTTGACTGCAGAGGGAAGAGTAAGAGAATAAGGGAGTTGTTGGAAGGGGCCCTAGAGGTCTTCCAATCCAACCCTTGCTCACACAGGAAACACTGTACCTGTCTGAGGAGATTCTCAGTCTTCCAGGTAATTGTTGTCCCCCCCAAAGGTGCTTATTTTCCCCCCAAGCGGCAACTGTTTTTTCTCTGAAGAGATTTCACTTCTCATCCAAGAAGCTTCCTCGGCTTCTCTTGGAACTGAAGAAGCTTCTTGGGCAAGAAGCGAAACTTCTTCAGAGAAAAAAAAAGGGAGTCCACTTGCCTCTTGCTCACTCCTTCACACGGCACTAAGGAATCGAACCGCCGAACTGCCGGCCTTTCTGATTGACAAGCTCAGAGTCTAAGCCACTGAGCCACCGAATCCATTCAGGTTCTCGCCTTTTCAAGGTCCTTTGTGGCCTTCACAGAGTTGTCTGTCTCAGTTGCCCAGGTTCTCTACCCAGAGACCATATGGGCTTTACCTAAAGGGGTCAGGAGGAGACCCTGTGGGGTTCAGGGGGCATTCTGAACCTCGCAATTTTCTTGCAGACGTCTCATTGCCAAACTAGGTAACACCATCGGGGCTTATGTTTATTGTTATATACTAGTGGCTTCAAATACCGATGATGTAGAGCTATAGGAAGGGTGATAAAATCCTTGACAACTTTAAGACTTGTGGACTTCAACTCCCAGAATTCCCCAACCAGCCGTTAAGACTAACAGACTTTAAGGTAAGTCTTGTTAGAATAACTGAGTTGGAAGGGACCTTGGAGGTCTTCTAGTCCAACCCGCTGCTTAGGCAGGAAATCCTACACCACTTCAGACAAATGGTTATCCAACATCTTCTTAAAAACTCCCAGTGTTGGGGCATTCACAACTTCTGGAGGCAACTTCTGTTCCATTAATTAATTGTTCTGTGAAGAGACGGCAGCCATCTTGCTTGAATAAAATAAATAAATAAAAACATGCCTTGGTGAATGATCTTACTTACTCTCGGCTCCCAGCAGGAATGAGTAAAAGCTGAGGAAATTAGTGCTCAGATACAACCAGCCTTGGCAGGGCATCCGCCCTCTCCAGTAGCTACACGAGTAGTAAGTCACGAGTTTCTCCTGTTCGGCCAAGCCAAAGCACTTCTCAAACTTCAGATGGGCTTCCCGGAACTTCTCTGGATCCTCTTCTCTTACTAAAGACCCCTTGTTCTCCTCAGCAATTAAGCCCTGGGGGAAAAAAGGAGTCAAGAATTAAGAGCCGAGGTGGCGCAGTGGTTAGGGTGCAGTACTGCAGGCCACTTCAGCTGACTGCTATCTGCAGTTCAGCGGTTCAAATCTCACTGCCTCAAGGTTGACTCAGCCTTCCATCCTTCCAAGGTGGGTTAAATGAGGACCTGGATTGTTGTTGAGGGCAATATGCTGACTCTGTAAACCGCTTAGAGAGGGCTGGAAGCCCTATGAAGCGGTATATAAGTCTAACTGCTATTGCTATTGCTAAAGTTCCTTTGGCCAAATTCAATCACCATCATGGACTCCAAGATGAAGCTACATGGAAGTAGGAACGTCCACCAAATGTTGGAAAGGTAATCAAAAGCCTAGGTGGCAACTTGCAAAGCATCCCTGGCCTGCTCTTGAGTTGCCATAGGCAAGGGGGGATGGGAAACTGATGAAGCAGCACACGGGGGGGGGGGCACAAATCAAAGCCCATTCCAGATGTATCTTTCTCAAGGCTGTCTCCCAGTTACCCACAGCGACCCGTGATCTATACAACCCTGGAAATTGCTCCAAATGTGATTTATGACACACCCTGGGGGGAGGGGGGAAACAAGGTCCTAATTGGGCTGTAAATTACATAGGGTCAGAGGTGGCTTCACTTGGGTATGTGCTCTTAATGCTGCCTGCAGGAACTGAAGAGGGGTTGGAGAACTGGAAAGTAGAGAAACAATGATAATAAAATAGAAAATCCCATGGGAAATACAAGAATTATTTAGCATCAGGTCAGGAGTTATCACTTGAATGAGAAAAAAGAAAACTTAAGGTAAAGGTTCCCCTCGCACCTATGTGCTAGTCGTTCCTGACTCTAGGGGGCGGTGCTCATCTCCGTTTCAAAGCCAAAGAGCCAGTGCTGTCCATAGACGTCTCCGTGGTCATGTGGCTGACATTCCCTTCCCACCAAAGGTGGTTCCTATCTTTCTACTTGCATGTTTTACATCTTTTCGAACTGCTAGGTTGCCAGAAGCTGGGACAAGGAACGGGGGCTCACTCCGTTACGCGGCGCTAGGGATTCGAACCTCTGAACTGCCGACCTTTCTGATTGACAAGCTCAGCCTCTAAGCCAAAAGCACCTTTGGGACAAATCTCAGGTTGTTATCCCAGGTGCATTTACCTGGGAGAAGCCAGAATGGACTCATTGCAAAAGAATGATCTTCTAGGCTGATATGTACCAGATTGCATTGGCCAGGAAATTAAGTAATAAACTAATAAAAACTCCGCTGTCCTTTAGCCATCAATGAGGAAATAAAACCCCACCAGGGGCAATGAACTTTACTCTGGAGGAGGCACTAAGGATGAAATAAAATGCAAATTGTCTCTCAGTGCCAGAAAAATTGAATAAAACTATCCTGTTTTAGGAGATTTAGACTAATGCCTATGAGATTCTCCATCGTACAAGTTCAGGATTGTCCCAAAGATTTCTTTTTTTCAAAAGGCAATTGGACTTTCTTGGAGATTTTTCCCCTTGAAAATGTTTCACTTCTCATTCAAGAAGCTTCTTCGGTTCTGAAGAACTGAACATGAACGGTTCCAGGAACTGGGCCTGGCTAGTCTAGTGAAGAGAAGGACCAGGGGAGACAGGAGAGCAGCCTTCCAATATTTGAGGGGCTGCCACAGTGACGAGGGAGGGGGTCAAACTATTCTCCAAAGCGCCCGAAGGCCAGAGAAGGAATAACAGATGGAAACTGAGTAAGCAGAGATTCAACCTAGAAATAAGGAGAAATTTTCTGACAGTGAGAACCATCAACCCATGGAACGGAAGTTGCCTGCAGAAGTTGTGAGAGCTTCATTGCTGGAGGCTTTCAAGAAGAGTCTGGACTGCCATCGGTTAGAAATGGTGTAGGGTCTCCTGCTTGGGTAGTGGGGTTGGACTAGATGACCTTCAAGGTCCCTTCCAAACCTGTTAATCTGTTAAAACCCCAGCCTGAAGTTACTCATGATGAGCTTTTACGTACTTGAATTTTCCCGTGCACAAAGCTTACGATGTCCTCGTTGGAATCAAAGACGGAGAGAGTGTCCATCATATTCCGCTCCAGCCATTCCCAGTGCTCCGTTATCTCTTCTCGGCTGGTTCCTGAGTGAGGAAAAAAATATCAATTACTGTATTTTGGACTATAAGACACCCCCCTCCCCCCGGCAATGGGTGGAAATGTCTGTGTGTCTTATAGGCAAATACAGGCCTGTTTTGGGTCTCCCGAACCCTCCTCACATCCCGTTTTTGCCTTCCCTGGCGTCCAGAAGCTCCCTGCAGTGCCCGGGGAGGGCAAAAACAGGACCTGCGGAAGCCTCCAGAGACCAAAAATGGGCCAGAGTTCTTCTGGATGCTGGGGAAGGCAAAAATGGGACACACACAATGTTGACCTTTGTTAAGGCAGCTTCTATAGCAATAGCAATAGCAGTAGACTTATATACCGCTTCATAGGCCTTTCAGGCCTCTCTAAGCGGTTTACAGAGAGTCAGCATATTACCCTGAGCCGGTGAGATTTGAACCGCTGACCTGCTGATCTAGCAGTAGCCTGCAGTGCTGCATTTAACCACTGCGCCACCTTGGCTCTTACATTCCTTGCTACGGGGGTTAAGCGAGTCACAGCAGGGGCTTCCGGCCCTGAGTTCTGCTAGCCAGGAGGTCGTAAAAGGGGATCATGTGACCAGGAAACTGCCACCATCATAAACGTGAGTCGGTTGGCAAGCGTCTGAATTTCGATCGTGTGACAACGGTCACAAGTGTGAGAAATGGTCACGGGTCACTTTTTTTGGGGGGGTGTCACTAAACAAAACGTTGTAAGTCGAGGACTACGTGTAAATAAGTCAGAAGACAAAAAAAATAAATAAGAATTTACTTACCGCAGGCAATAGTCCAGTAAATCTGGGAATCCGGGGTCTGGTGTAGGATACGGAAAGGGGCTACTTTCGATGTGGAATCCATAACGGCATCCAACGTCCCGACCAGGAGACCTGCAAGATGAAGGTCAAAGTTCAGGGACCCCTTCTCCAGGACAGAGTTGTCGTGTGTCGTCGTGTCCCCCCCCCCCCCCGTGGGAAGAAAAATGAAGGATTCCATGATCCTGAAGGACAAGCAGTTCGGGATCTGGCGGCAGATTCAGAGAGTGAGCAGGGTTGGGGAGGAACCTGGGCCAGTCCTGGAGTGGGGAAGAACAGGGCTCTGTGTCGGAGGCAGAGAGGGGGCCAGAACCCTATGCCAGCCAACATCTGCCTTCAGAGTCAGACATCAGTGGGGCAGAAGAACAGCTGGAGCCTGTTCCCAGTGTGCGCATGCGCAGAGTGGCCAGACAAAGGGAAGAGTTAAAGAACAGGGGTCG